CGTTGACCAGAAATCATTCAACGCAGTCTGGCCCTTGCCGATGCTCCTGATTGCAGATATTGCTCTCAGGTTCACGTCAAACGCGTTAGAGTCGGCCTTGCGTGGTGAAGACCAGGCGTGGGAAACAACTTCACAGACGGGGCACACAAGTTCAAGCTTCACAGCAAGACCCAGAGCTGTCGATTCTTGAATCTTCATTCCCGTGGCTGAGCAGCCTTGGCAGACCGTGTAGCCAAGAAGTTCATTGATAGCATCTAGCCGCACGATGGTGAATTTCGATGACGAATTCGTCGGAGTAGGAGGATCTTGCTTCAGAATATCAAACTTACGTTGCGTGGCAGACACGGAAGCAAGTTCGGCACGAACGGCATCGCGATGTTGCGCTGCCGCTTCAGTTTCCGCCCGAGAAACGTACTTTGTCTGCAGGTGCACCGTCGTGTTTCCCGTCGAAGTTCCAGGCACACAGGAGCTGATAGATTCTTCAGCTGCAGTCGGTGAACACGTCGACACGACTATGTCGCTGCCTGTGGCGGGAGCCGCATCGGCGCTCGATTTCGCTGCTCTCACTTCCTTCATCGAGCGTTTACACGCTCCGTACGCAAACCTCGTCTTGCTTTTGTACTTACTCCTCCACATCGCTAGCCTGATTGAAGAAGAGGCGCGATCGAGAAAACAAAACCGACGTAACAATGGAGGAGTGAAAAGCGAAGCTGACAAAGCACGAGGGCAAGCAAGCAGATCACTGCCGAAGGAGCAGACGACGCAAGCCCGCGAGCGGCAGGAGCGGGAGGAAGGGAAAGGCAAACAGCGCGCGGGGAGAGGAGAGCTGACCGTGCGGCCAATAGTAGCCGCGTTCTCCTCCGCGCGCTCGGGGAGCGCGCGCTCTGTCCAATCACGTTCTCGCGATTGCAACATAGGAGAACGGCGATAGCGCCCTAACCAAGCGGCCGTAGCCGTTTTGGGAGCCGGCAAAAAAAGGAGAAAGAAATCACGTTCAAAACAAGACCAAGATGGCGGACGTCGGCCCAGCGCATCGGGAATGGCGAGCGCGCGAAGAAGAGTTGAGTTTTGACGTTTGATCGTCACTTGGAAGCTACCCACGCGTCGTAGATATTCGTTTTTAAATACTTTCCCGTTTTATTCGGTACTGATAATTACAGGGAAGGTAGTTTATGAGATATACAACCCAAAAATATAGTTTTCAAAAAATCGACTTTTTCGCGATTTTTCGGTTTTCAAGGCCCGCGTCCTCCCTTAAAGAGTTTGATGGCTCCGGACATCCCAACTAGTAAGTCATACGTCGAGCTAGTATCACTATTGCGAGAGCACCTGTTGCTGAAGACTCGTCATCGCGGAACGCTTCCGTTTGCCCAAAAGAAACCAAAACGAGAATGAAAGTGTCCTCGAGTTTGTAGCCGAACTGAAGAAGCTGGCGCAGACATGTGAATTCGGTGGCACCTTGAACGAAGCCTTACGCGACTGCATGGTGTGCGGTATCATCAGGGACTCCATTCAAAAGCGGCTGTTGTCGGAAGGTAACATGACGTTTAAGAAGGCGCTAGAAATCAGTGGCAACGGAAGCCGCCTCGGCAGACGCACATGTTTTACATGGCCAGAGTGCGGATGCCAAAGTGCGCAAGCTGAAGCGGGACAAGCCCGAATGCAAGCACTGCGAACTTAGGAATCACATAGCAACTGACTGCAGGTGGAAAGGCTTAGATTGATGCAAGTGCGGAAGACGCGGACACCCTGATCGAGCAAGCAAGAGCCAGCAGTCCGGACCAGCAGCTTCTCAGCACTGCGGAGCACCTACACGGAGCCGGAGAAATCAAGGGGAAAAGTCAAGACGCTAAACGTCGACATGGAAGACGAGGTCGAGATGTTCGAGCTTCGGGGGACACGTTTGAGGCCGCTATAACTGACAATGAAAGTGAACACGATTCCCCTGACGATGGAAATAGACACCGGGGGCGCAGTGTCTTTACTCCCACTAGACCTGTACAAGAAAAGGTTCCCTAACCTGGTCAAGGGAAGCGGAGTTGTTCTTTGAGCATTTATGGGCAACAAGGTAAAGCTGGTAGGTGAGTCACAGGTAGACGTGGAGTACCAAGACCAAGTTCACCAGTTGCCACTGCAGATTGTGAACTTCAAGAGTCCCCCACTTTTGAAACATGATTAGCTGGAAGTGCAGAGGCTCGACTGGTCTAGTTGCAAGGCTATCCAGTGCTTGGAGAAGGAGAACAAGGAACAAGTCGTCAGTGTTTTGAAGGACTTTGCTCAGGTGTTCTCAGATGATCTGGGCAGTCTCCAGGGATTTGAAGCTCACCTCAAGCTAAAGAATGGGTACACTCCGAAGTTCCTCAAGCGAGGACCAGTGCCCCACGCCCTGAGGGCACCAATCTCTCAAAAACTGATGGCTTTGAAAGCCAGGGATCCTAACCCCGGTGGATAGCAGCACGCTTGCGTCGTCCATCGTGCCGGTTGTCGAAAAGAATGGAGACATAAGAATCTGCGGCAACTACAAGTCGACAACTATCCACTCCCCAGGATGGAAGAGATATTTGCAACGTTGGCAGGAGGGAAGTTTTTCTCAAAGCTAGACCTCTCAAAAGCCTACCTATAGATGGAAATGCATCCTGCAGCATGGAAGTACCTCACAATAATTAAAAAGCGCAACAGGACAACGGACACAGACCGTTGTTGTTGTCCGCAGACCACCTGCTATCTGGACGACATCCTGGTGACAGGCAGAATGAAGGGTGAGCATCTTGGAAACTTAAAAGCGGTTTTAACACGATTACAAGAAAAAGAAATGCATTTTCAGAAAGAAAAGTGCATATTCTTCCAAACAGAAGTTACATACCTTGGTCATGTGATCAGTCAGGATGGTCTACGAACCATGGAGGAAAAAGTAGCTGCACTTCGAGATGCACCCACTCCAAGCAACAAGGCAGAGTTGCGTTCATTCCTTGGGCTTGGTAACTACTATGGCAAATTTCTACCAAACTTGGCAACTATACCCTGTATTCTCTGAATTGTCTACTGCAGAAGGATGCAGCATGGGAATGGAGCACAGACTGTCAGGACTCCTTTGACTCTCTAAAGAAACTTGTGACGTCAGCACCAGTCCTATTTTGACCCACGTCCACCCATTATATTTGCATGCGATGCACCGGCATATATGGAGTAAGTGGCCCTGTCCCATGTGTTTCAAGATGGAACAGAGCGGCCAGTAGCTTTTGCTTCCAGGACCCTGAATGAGCATGAAAAGAATTATTCCCAGTTAGAAAAAGAAGGCCTAACTATCATATTCAGAATAAGGAGATTCGACTGCTATTTGTATGGCACGGGGTGGTGGCCGTGCATAACCTTGCGCACATGGCACTTTGAGTTGACTCAGCACGAGCAATGGCGAAGTGCGGGCAGATGAATAAATGTCTTCGAAGACACAACAGTACCAATAGTTTTATGCTATTTCTCATTTCTTGCTTTATGTAGAGACACTTTATCGCAAGCCATAAAAGAGAAAGCTCTTGCGGCTCTCAGGTTATCAGGCAAAAACCGCCTTGTGAATTTCCAGGTTCAGTTCTTCGCTGAAAGATCCCAATCCTGAGTTCTCTCCAGGTACATTCCCTAAGTTTACTCATTTTTTTTTTCTGCAAGTGTCTCGGTTTCTCAGGTGGCGTTTGTTCAAGACCGTCACATAAGCTGCCTGGTCACAAACGTGCAAGCACCTGAAATCTCTTGAGTAAAAACATTTTGCGTTAACAAAATATATATATATTATTGTATGATATGGGGGGCGGGGGGGGGGGGGGGTTTAAAAATAGTCAGCAACTTTTATTGCATGGCACCTAAGGCAGCATATGCCTCAAACTAAAATGCAAATTTATTTGTATTTTTCATTGTCTGAACATTTGGAAGTGGCAGACATAAATTATTCTTTCAATGAATCTTTACATGGCAGTCTCTCTACTCACTGGAAGAGTCAGGTGCGAGCAACCTAGATATATGTAAAAAAAGGATTCCTAGTGCTTGCGTGAATTCAATGCATATTCGAAGCGACTGGCCACAACTGAGCCAGTGCTACGCTCGACGGCCAAGGCCTGCGAAGTCCTTTATATCGTGGAGATCTTCAAATCAAAGCCGTGCAATCAACCACACACCACTATAGAATCTTCCTAATCACCGGGCACGCAGAACACCACAAAACACCGATTGAATTACAGAACAAAAAACTTTGCCAAGATGTTGCCTCTTAAAAGCATGCCACAAAGACACAAATTGGAACGAATTTTTGAACCCTGTCAAGGGGCCAGAAGTGCCCGGAATACAAAGTATAGGAACTTAACACTTAACTTGCCCAACATTCACTCACCACTGCCATGAACCTCATGTAAAATTCGTAGTTTGCTGCTCTCGTCTTCTACAAGCCCAACCCTTTTCACCGTGCACACCTTTTTCTAGGATTTGAACTTTCTGTATAGGATCCCTACAGGAGCCAGAGTTGCGCGTTCAGCCATCTTGAAATTTTAAGTGATGCGGTACAGCCACTTCTCGCGCGTGTAAAAGCCGTGCTCCGTTGTTCGCGGCCGCTCACGTGACTGAATTCGGCGAATAGAGGCACCGCGCACATCGTCCTGCTTGGAAAACAGGGAAGGAGGAGGAGAAGGCAAAAGCAGGGTAACATACGCCGGCGCACGTGCGTGAAACATTGGCAAGCAGTCTTTAATGCATGGGGCAGGATTCTTTGCTCCTCACATGATTGATGTCAGCAAATAGCGGCGCAGAAGCACATGAAAAACAGACGCACAACTATGACTACCTATAAAGGAACTCTACTTGGACCCTACTGAGGACGCCTCTCTGGTGGAGGATCTCAGAATTAGCACGGACCCTAGCAGTTTGGGGTCAGCTGTACAAGAGCAGCTTTAGACTAAGACTGGCCGTAGCAAAGCCATCGAAAACGTTTATTAAAAAGGTGGAAACGATAAACTTACCGTGACTTGAAGACTGATTCGGTTCCATACGAAGTGTTAAATGGGATCAGGCTCCAAGGACACCCGCCAAACGCCGCCTCACTGAAGCCAAGTCGATTCCCACAAGGCTCCCGTAACTGTAATCGTGTTGAACGCTTAGTGAGCGGGAGGTTAGCGAGCCCCAATCGGTGTCTGTCGTCTCCACCGTAAATCAGAATTTCTGCGAGTATAGTATCACAGCTAGACACACGACCACACGCCGGCACGACGCTCGCCCAGATAGAAACTCGCAGAGACGGGTATTAAGGGGAGACGCGGGTCTTAAAATATCAAAAAATCGCGAAAAATGTGATTTTTCAAAATTCACGATTTTGAGGTCTATATAGTCCAGAGTATGTCCTCACAAAATATAAATGCTCAATTCAATCTCTAAATAAGAAAATAATGACAATTTGTAAGCGTTGACAGACCCGACTTGAAGCCTAAACTCTGAAATGTCAACAAAGTTCAAGCCGTCTGAGCTCTGCAACGGCTCAACCGATTGCAGCCATCTTGGTCTTGTTCGAAAGCTGGTTTCCCGCGCTTATTTTTCCCGCGCTCCAAAGCGGCGTACCCCTCGAAGCCGTGGCGTCATCGATGCCGGACGAAAGGTCGTCACCAGCGCAAGAGAGGCGCTGATTGGGCAAAGCGCGCGCTCCTCCGAGGCGCAGCTCTCTCATTGGCCAAGACGCGCGCTTCCTCTTCTGGCTTCCCCGGCGCGACGTCCAAGTCGCTCCGCGGACTCCCGCGTCGTCTGCTTTCCCTCGCTTCGCCCTTCGAGACGCACGTTACATTCGGATTTCTCCACTTTCTCTATCGATATTTTCAGTGTTTTCTTTGTGCTTACTAGTATTTCGTATGTTCCCTGTCTTCTTCGCATCGTTCGTGTAAATATTTTGATACCTCCTCTTTGTTTAGCTTTGCTTTTTCCTTTCTGCGCCATTGTTCTTTGTTTCGTTCTGCGCACTTCGATGGTTGGGGACGCCGGTTTGAAACTCAACACGCAGAGACTAAACAGAAACAGGAGACGTGCCTACACCTCCGCATCAACAAAAACCTTCCGCTTCGCCGATGCGCAAGTCGCTCTACCGCTGGATCAAGTTCGTATTCGACAACTTCGCCGATGCCTAGGGAAAAAAAAAAAAAAAAAACTAAAAAAGCCCTCAGGGCTTTTCAGTTTTTTTTTTTGTTACATATGGGGCTGCTTTCCCCACCCGTGTCTCTTTTAGTATGCAATTCTAACCAAAGGCATCCCATCAAAACATTGTTACTTATGCATATCCAAATTTCGAAGTCTATTACCCCAGCTTTGTTTTTGTTTTTGTTTTTTTTTTTTTTTTTTCCAGCATAGGCTTTTGATTCACTTGCGCTCAACCGATTTTCATAAACTCTGTACAATTTTCTTTTGAATGAACTAGACTGCAAGCTAAAGCTACTTTTATTATGATATTTAGGTATATAGAACTGGCATTTCATTATTAGCCATTCTTATAGCCTCTATTATATGACTTCTGTTCACTTTAATTCTTTTACATGATTATATTGTGCTAAAGAAATAAAAATAGCTTTAGCTTGTATGGCATTTCTTTAGGAAGCAAGTGATACCTTTTTTTGCATTAAAATTTTATTAGGTTTTTTTTAAAACCCATGCTCAAATTAGCTAATTAATATTTTATATTGTTGATAACTTTTGACAAAGAAGAAATATCTGAAATCTGATTGCAGTTATGGAATAAGCATAGTAAACTGCATGTCTATGCAAAAAATCACAGACATACCAATAAACAAAAAATATTTTTGGATAACCCACTTCCTCCCAGTGTGATTTTATAAACATTTCACTAATTCTTTACTTTTTTCGTATTTTTTTTCTAATGTTCCCATGAATGGATTACGTCATTTTTATGTCAAGATGTTCAGGAAGACTTACACTACACCTTGATGGCAATTATTGTTTATCATTCTTCACAAAATTTTCTATGTTCAATGTCAAAACTTTAACTTCGATTTTCTCATCTTCGTGTTTTTTGTCAACATGCTTAGCCTTACGAGAGTTTTCATGAGGTTTTTATCGTAGCATTTTGAAAACTTTGATACCGTTTTATTCAGAAAGGACTGGACTACGGAGTAAAGCTATTTTTTTACAGTCTCGAGTTTCAAAAAAAAAATTATGATAAATAATGTGACCTCATTAATGTCATAATTGGCATAATTAGCCATTTTTTATATAATATTGTCATTTTGTGAAATTTTAAATAGCTTTATAATGCATGACAGACCTTTAGCTATGCATCTACATTAATAAAAAAAATATTTTTTGTTGGTAATGGCCTCAACGACCCGTAAGAAATTACCAAATTAGGCAACGCTATTTTTAATAACTTGTGAACTACTTGAGATATTTTAAAACTGATTTCATATTTAAATTGAGGAACAAGAAGCACATATGCACAGTGATTTTCATTAGAATAGCTGCAAAAATAAAAAAGTCAATTTTAGAACCAGTGTCTCGCCTTAAACCCCAGATTCCCGGGTTCTATAGCACGAGCTTTCATCCACGTTATCCGAGCTGTGGTGCGTTAACACGTCTGGTCACCGACCCCCTTCTCCACTCTTATAATCGAGTTCAGAACCAGTGGATGAGAAATATTTCTTGCCAAGCTGAAGGCAAGCTGCAAACACACAAAAAGGCAGGTCTGGAACTCGCTGGAAAGTAAACAAATGCGTAATCTTCGGAGTAACATTGTCAGCTACGGTGAGTGTGAACGCAATGTCCGCTGTCAATTCGTCCTTGCAAATGTTTCGAGCACTGTTAAACCCTTGCCAAGGTACAAGCATTTAGTTCACAATGCAGTGGCATATACAGCTATACTCGGTGTCAACTATTCTGTGCTGCATTGTGCAGAATAGTGCAGGTCATCCAGTGTGGAAGCTACGCAAGGACCGACAACGTAGAACAAAATAGAGATGCGAGGCATGGTAATAGAGGTATTGCTTAATTACCCTAGAATCAACGAGAATGCTGGGAGTGTAGATAAAGACGCCCCATATGCTCGCCTTCTCCGTACAAAAGATTTGAAGTAAATGACCACAATAAAGCGTTCCCAAAAGCACAAACAAGATAACATATTTGTTTTGGGTTTCTGCTTTAAAACAGCAACTGCTGCAGACTCCAGCAGATGCAGCGCATGTAACTACATTCGCAGAATGCTCCTTGGTGCTTTGGGTTCGGGTTGACGGCTTTCGGTTCAGTTCTGCAAGGAGCAAAGACAATGGTTCAAACCGGTTCGGAACGCTAAACTTGTAATTATTTTCCGCATTGTTTTGGAAAAAGCCTTTATTTTCACCGCGATACCAGTAACTATGCGTATAGTTTTCTTTTTATCATTCGTAAAATCTACTTTTACTCTCAGGTATCAAAAATAGGAAATTATGTTGCTTAATTTTTACGCCACAGTAAAAAAACAAATCTGGATTAACATTTTAAACGTTCTGTTTATATGATTCAACATCCATTTGTTTATTTCAGTCACACCTATTTTACCCAAATTGAAAGAGTGTCACGAACTGTGGTAGGTTGACAAAAATACATGCGACTGGTACAACTTTGTGTCGCAGTATTAAAAGTTGGATCGTAGTTGTGCTCTTGAACAAAGCAATTAATTACAGTGCATAGAGCGCAAAAAGGGCATCTTGTCACCATATAGCGTAATATAGTTTACAAAATAAGTTGAACATTATTTATCACGACATAACTGAGCTAAAAGCAATAATATTTTCGAAATGTCACGAAAGTCATAGAACGAGCCCTTTCAGTCTTCCTTTTATAGAAACATTGAGCGGCAATCACAACTCTCGCTTTCCTAAACAACATTATTTATACTCAGCAATGCAACGCAGGCAAAGAATTATGCAGAAAGGAGTGGTCCAAATTGTTCACTATAATCTGTACACACCTTCGTACTCAGATCGAATCTGGCCTAAAAAAGTGCATCTAAGCGAAAATTATCTTATAAAAGATGAACAACATAGCCTGCCCGTTCAGGTTTGTGCCCGACAAGACGCCAGTCAATTCAATTGTCAAAATAACATTGCCCTTGCTAATTGGTGATTTTCTGTCCAATAGAACAAAACAGCATTTAATGCTCTACTTGACACGGCAGCTACTTAATTAGTCACATTTTCATGGTATGTGTGCGTAATTGCCATAGTTCTGCCACATGCCCCTGTGTACATTGTTTTTGTCCAGCCCTCACAAAAACATACATAAAATTGATCGAAGATAGGCGCCGAAAAAACAAGGAGAAGAAGAGACGTAAACACTGGCGCCAGTGCTTACGTCTCTTCTTGTCCTTATTTTTTCGGCACCTATCTTCAATCATGAATCAACTGGCCCAAATTGCCACCTTAATGTAATAAAATAGTACAATAAATAAATAAATACATGTGTCAGGAACGGCTGTAGGACCGTTTGTTGAATGACAATTCGTCTCCCGTCAACTGGTAGCAGGGCTATTCGTCACATAGTGCACTATGACATTTCGTCAAACTGTTAACAGATATTTCTAATATTTGTATCATTTCTGATGTTTACCGAGCATACCGTAAAATACCGCAGAAGTGCCCACTACTAACGTCTCCCAAACTTAGGAATTCTGCGAAGCATACGTTAAGCACCCACCCTCAAAGTGACAGCATCAACTGAAAATATTCACCCCGTTGCAGCAGCCACAAGACCGGCAGCGACGATGACGGGGATATCCGCTTTCTTGCGATCGAGAGGGAAAAACTACTTGTGATGAGAGCATTGGCCCCTATTCTGCACTGACTCAGAAGTTAGAAGAGTCGTCTGTGTTCAGTGACAATGAATAGGAACTGCTTAATTTATTTTTACAGGATAAATGATGAGGAAGGCCCCATCATCCATAATGTGAAAATAAATGTGCTTTCTCTGATTCAATCACCCTCCCTACCTTCGAAGCTCTCCATTGATCGCCATCTCGGTTTTCACCGATTTTAATAGATTAACCGAGTTTTCAGTCAAACTGGGGTATGCGCTTCTTCGGTATATTATGGTAGTTCTTCCAAGTGCATACAATTACCAGCAACTCCCTTTTTCATTTAATTACTTTCTTCTTGACACAAGAAATTAGGCTTACTAATTTCTAATAGATACTGAAGACTTACGTCTCGTCCACTACAATTTTGGCAGATCTGTCACTAATGAAAAAAAGGTATGGCAAAAATTTCGGTCACGCACT